CGCCAGTAAACACGACGAACGACGTAAACGAATGAACAAGCTTTAATCATGAAACGTAGTCGCAAGATGGCCGACCAATAACAACAGTAATGAACAGGCGTCACTGGCGCGGGCGCGCGCGCATGACAGGCACAAATGTCCGCGGGCACAACGGGCTCGCTGGCGCTGGGTATTTATTTGTTGTATCAACACTTAAATGGCTTTTGTATTCGTTTAGCTCATGCAATAGTGCAAAAACCCAGTTTTTGTAGCATTCGCAATTTGACATTCTGATGGTTTCCATTGTCTTCCTTCAACATTGTCACCCGGACAATCGCGAATCACACATGCATTTTTTTAGAGTAAAATACTTCGTCTAAATATATTGTGTTTGCTGTTTGTGTTTTATTTTTATCACAGAAAGGTCACGTGCAAGAGGTTGATCTAGATGAAGAAAGAAACTACACTCTTATCACAAAAGCCATGAAGCCATTGATGTTTGGTAAAAAATAGATTACTTTTAAATATTTTTATATATCTTTTAAGTCCAGAAATCACATCCATCTGGTCACGTACTGCTGTCAATAAAGCTATTTTGATGCATTCTCCTTCTAACGGTTGTAAATTGTTTATATTCTTTTTCAAATAAACTGTTAGTAACCTCAAACTTAAAGACCTGAGATGGCTGAGAATCAAGAGAATTCATATGCCAACTGGAGCTCAGATTTTTCAGAGATCTCATATCATATCGTTGCCATTAGTGATTTCATTTTATATTTGCCATTCCGAGGATAAGGAAAAAACTGGATCGAATTGGCATTGCAGTGCCTTTTGGGAATGTTTTAGGGGACTTAATTGACGCCATAATGGAAATATGTTCCCCAAAAGAGACAAATAATGCACTGCAGTGGCAAATTGAACCATTTTTTCCCTCAATCTCGGAGCAACTCGTTAACAACTTGTTTTCAATTTCAGAGATTCCGAACTTTTTATCACACAAAGAGTGCGACCACATCGTAGAACTGGCCAAGAAAAATGGCCTGCATACCAGTATCGCCGGATTCAACCATACTGTCTATGAAGGAAATCTAGACGAAGAACTAGCAACTGGTAAGATTCGTATTCATAGCCAGGAAGACTTGTTCAAAGACTTCTAAAGTTCTCGACCAATCAGAGCGCGCTTAGCGAATGACGCGCGCGTGTGTTGTACGTGTGCAGCTATAAAGCACGTGGTGATTGGCCGAACATTTATCGGGTGTTCTGCTAATATGCAAGTGCTTTATAAATTCACAAGCAACAACAACCAAGTTTTTTATTTGTTCCGTAAAATATAAATAAGGGAAACCGTTATTTCGGCGAAATGTAAAATTCGCGCGCGTTTCCTCTTATAATGCACACGCCCCAACCAATCAAAAAGCGAGTTTAAATTTATGACATATTTTGTTTTATTTATATATATATATTTTGTAACAATTGCTTCAGTTACGACTGAAATTCCACCAGAAAAGTTTGAATATGCCATGGACTTTTTCTTGTGGGACAGAAACGGAGATGGAGTCATCGACACAGAAGAGGTCAGTACAACGAATTCTTTGCCTCCTCAACAGACCTAATCCACCTGTTTTCACATTTCACACCACGTGTCATTCCTTAGAGTATTATTTCGGCTACACTTGAGAAAACACATGATGAATATGGATACGACTCAAACAAAGAATCTACCTCTCAAGAGAATGGCACGTGATCTGATATAGACAAAACATTACACCCAAGTGGAATTGGTCCATTACGTGCACGAAATCAAAATTTACCGTCGAAATGAAGTCGGTTTAGGTGAGCGTCAATCAAGGCGTTTCCATGACATTCTATTGGTATGTGCCCTTTAAAAGGTTTGCTCTTATTGGTGCAAACTCGTAAGCACCAATTTTGCTAACGTATCTTTTCCCGCTTCTTTGCTGTTGTCATTGAAACCAAGCCCAATGGATCTGACATGATCTTTTTCTGTCCTAAAGATAAAATATTTCATTGGAAGGAACAAGCTGTTATTTCTGGACGAAGAAGAGCTCAATAAAATGTAAGATATATAATATGATATAAAATATATATATATACATATATATATAATATATTATACATAAATACATATATAACATATTTTGGTGACTTTAAAAGCAAACTAAAATTTTATTTTTTATTTTAAAAATATAAAAATTTCATATACGTTTTTATTTACTTTTCCATGTTATTTTTCTTCGTTGTTTTAGGTTTGAGAAATTAGATTTTGATGGCTACAAGGATGGTGAGCGAAACTAACTTCACTGATATCATTAAGTATTTCCTCGATTTGCCAGTCAGCCAGTCAGCCAGTCAGCCAGTCAGCCAGTCAGCCAGTCAGCCAGTCAGC